CTCGCTCCGGCCCGGGGCGCCCCCGCGCCGGGGAGTTCGGGGTGGCTGACGTGTGACCCCCGCCCGCCCTGCCGGAGGCGGGGCTGGCGCTGGGGGCCGCCCTGTCCCGGGGGTGCCGGCGCGGCGCGGGGAGCGCGCGCGCCCAGGGAGTGCTGGAAGGTGGGGAGCCGGAGGGGCGGTCCGTCCTGACGTTGGTGCTGTGATGACCGGCAGCGGTGTTACTAGAAGTTCCTCCATGAGTGTCCACTGTGGGCCTGGCACCGAGCCCGCAGCGCGGGCCTCCTGCCCCCGCGCCCGAGTGTGCCCTGAGCTCCAAGCTGAGCCTGCCCTCTGGCCCTGGAAGCCGCCACACCTCGGCCCCCCAAGCCCAAGTCCCCCAGGCTGCCTGCCCCAGGGCCGGCTTTCTCTCCAGGAAAGCTGCCCAGGCCGCCAGCCGCCTGTGCCTTTAGCTGAGGCCCTTGCTTCTCAGTCTGCCCTTGTTCCCTCACCCAGACTAAGAGAGATCAGGAACCCGAGGAGGCTGAGGGTAGACCAGTAACCCTCCCAGGAAAGTGGGGCAGGTAGGAGTCTACAAGGCAAGCATGGCTCAGTCACTCAGCAACCGGTCTCTGAGCACCTGGGAGTGCGGGCCCTGGGCCTGGCCTGCGGGGCTGGGGTTCTGTGCTTGGGGGGTTGCATGGCTGGCCTTGTGTGCAGACCTGCAGCCTGGTTCTAACAGGAGCAGACGCATGCTAAAGGGACCTCCCCCATGGCCTGTTTGCGAAGGGGAGGGGAGCTGGTCTTCTGAACCACCCCACAGGCGAGTCAGGTTCTGTTTCTGCTCTCAGGCCACCAGACCTCATGTCTCAGACACCCCTGCTCACAGCCTGTGTGTTGCAGGTGCTGCTTGGGGTCCCAGTGTGGGTGTGGTCAGAGCCTGGCTGGTGACAGAGGCAGATGGAAAGAAGACCCAGTGACTGTCTGTCTGTATGTCCCCGTTGGCCTCTTTGGCCTCCACCCAGATGCCTCTGGGGGGAGCTGGGGTTCCTTTCCTGTCTAGTAAGTTCCAGAGGTTTGACAGGATGAAAGCCAGAGGCTTTTTCTCCCAGGGAATAAGAAGTGGGGCATTTCTGAATTTGCCAGTCTGGGGAATTTGGGGGCCAAGTGTCAAGAAACCCATTAAATCATTGTTGTGATGATTCCATGAGTTGCTTTAATAAACCATATATTTTCATTGTGAGAGTAATACTCGTTCATTACAAAGAGTTTGAGAAAATGTAATTAATAACCTAACTCCGCAAAGATGTGGACCGTAACTATTTTGGCATGTTTCGTGACAGTTTTTAAAAGTACTGTGATGAACATCTTTGATGCTATGGTAGCCCTGCCCCCCGCCCCTTATCCACAGGGGATACGTTCCCAGACCCCAGCGGCCGCCTGAAACCAC